TTTTTTAAAGGAACAACAACAAATTTTTTTGTTTAAAAGTTATAATTTTCAATTGGTACAAAGCCCAATTTTCTTGATATTTATTATATAGGAACAATGTTACAACCAAAAAGCCTGGATCATGACAATAATGGTACACATTTTAGCCAACATGCACCAACAGAAATAGCTTACCCATATTGGCTAGAGGTCTTTAGGGCCTTTTTCCTACTAAATGCATGTCACTTAGGTGGTTCTTTGGAAACTCTGTGTTAATAAATTGATTTTACAACAACCTCATCCCCCTTTCTGGGCGCTGCTAGTGTGCAAGACCAATAAGTATGGAGACTGCCTGACCCCTTGCTCCTTCTCATTCATGACCAATCGCCAGTCCCTCTTGGGTGTGCCTCAGTGAGTCCATCCCCCATCCTAGGCAGCTATGGCACTCCCTCGCTGCACCACCCTTATAGCTGACGGCCATCAGCACATCATCGTTGGTGGCCAGTTGGCCAGGTTCCCGCCAGGGGTTCCTTGTAGGGATAAGGTATGTGAGTTGGCAGCGCCAGCCACTCCAGGCATGTCACTCCGCACCTGCCTTGGGGATCTCTAGTCTCACACCTATCCATCTTAGTGGCTCTTGCTACTTCAGATAAATAAAGATGGGCGAAAGAGAGATCTTTATTATGAGAAAATTATGATTATATGTACTCAGGCTACTACACCTATTAAAAACCCATTAGCCATTTTGCTGAAACCACATTCAATTGTGAGTCGTCCACAGTGCAAATTTCCTCCCAATCCAAACGTATTGAACACCATTTATGTTGACTCATCCTCAGCACAAATCACTGGTCAGACATATATAAATTACCACCATAAATATAATTGAGCATCCTTGGCATAAGTCGCCGGCACTCAGATTTGGGGCACAAAATCATCATCAGAAGTCTGATAACAAACGCATCAGCTTACCGCTGGAAAAGCCCACAATTGGCCATGACTGGCAGTTGGCGTTGAACTAAGATTATGCTTAACCTGAACAATTAATAATTAATTGGTTGACATCCTGGGCATTAATTGCCAGTATTAACCTACAAACAAAATATTTTTGGGGATTATTCCCTAATACTTTGAAAGGGCTCAACCCACCCAAATGGGGAGCACCGAATGATAACCATCTCATTAATGATAGTATCAGACTAGGCGATTAGCTGGCAATCACGCCTGACTAATTGACCCCCCTAGTCCTGATACTATCAGGAGGAATCCATCTGGGTAATTTTCTGATACTCTGAGTTGACAATCAAAGTGAACTTGGGACCCACTGGTCCTAACACTATGCAAACTTTTTTTTCTTAGAAAGTCATTTTTAACCCTAAAAACAAAACTTACAATCTACTTAAACCCTATCACAAAAAGAACTTTACCAAAGTTCAAATAAATTTGTATGTTTAAACCATGATATTACCTCAATCACTCAAGTCAACTAAATTATAGTTTGACATGAGGATGACGCACACATGTATAACTTTTGGCTGCAGATAACACCATTCTTAATGTGACACACTATTCTAGTGATAACCAAACAGCTACCCTAAGAACTAGGCAGCACCAGCACTCAATGGAACATTCCAGAAATAGGACAACCCCCTGAACTTAACAAATCTAAATTTTTGAGCTGCACAATTTTTGCTAAAAAAAGTGTCAGATACTAAAAGATTCATCTTAATAAAAAACATTAGTTGATAACTATTTAAGAATAATCTCCAGAAAATTTTAGCCTAGGGGTTAAATCATCAGAAACCCCTTATAAATTACCCAAAAAATATAATATATATCATTTTTACTAATATAAATTTAGAAGCCCCCCATTATTAAAGACAAGTGATTAATTTTAATAGTAATCACGGGGATATGTTGTACAGACTATTTTAATAAAATGAAGTTAAATCTGTGCAATACAAAACCAAAATTTAGATCAAAACGCCAGGTTACTGCCTGGATAGTAGCCACATACATTACTCCAATAATCTACTAAAGTGAAGCTACTATTCTCTCTTGATTAGAGGATGATCTGAAATGGTATTATGAACTCTCTCATTTTTTATTTAACTGAGGCAAGCTGACCAGGGGACAGGCATTACAAAAGAAACAAATGACATGAAACCTGAACAGGGTCAACTCTGTCAAAGAAAGTTTTTCCACCTCTGGATTGGGACTCAAATTTTTCTGGTTACGTCATGGGTAAGGTTTTCGTGTTATTAGACCTACTAACCGCCAATAGCTTCCTTTGGCTGGCACCCCAATCAATGTGAGAAGGGCGGTAATCAAACCCGCAACCTTCAGGTTAGTAGCCATATGCCCTTACCAACTCGCCTTCCATCCCCTGAACTCTCTCATTTTTTTTAATTTATTGCGGGGAAGGCCGACCATGGGACAGACACTTCCAAATATGACTCAGAAGAGACAAAACTTAGTATCAGGGGAGGCACCCTCAGAGAAGCGATGCTATCTCTTGTTGCCAGCAGGAACGCCACTTATGGGAAAGGGGAGGGAACGTGTGAAGGGGCCGTAGCCACAATTGAGCACGTGTGGAGGAAGGGGTCTGAGTTGATGAACCAGACTGGGAACCAGGAGGAGACCAGATGTCTGCAACGTGGTGGAAGGTATCCGAACAACCACGCTTGAAAGTGGTCCACCAACTAGACTGGAATCTGTGGACCGCTTCTGTGAGGGTGGGGGTGGAACCTGCAATGGCATCTAAGACAATCGTGTGGATGGTCCACATGGCGATTGCAACCACCAAAGCACGGAGGGAGGGTGGAAGGCAGGATGCCATTGATAGAGCAAACATACTTCTTGACAGACTGAAGGGATATTTTTGATCCTGGCCTACAAGAGGTTGAACTTCGCGCCATATCACTTTAGAGGTGGGGCACTTCTTCAGGCGGTGGAACAGCGTTCCATACTGGCCACACACGACACAGGATGAGTGTAAAGCGTTAGAGCGCTCAACCGTATGGTACACCCGCCTCAGGCAGCGCCACACATGGGAACAGATTTGAGGCTGCAACAGAGAATGGTGTGCATATTTCCAGATAGTTTTTTTGGTCTCAATGGAGTAAGGGATGTCCATCATGTCCAGGTAGTCCACCCTGGATAGGACATGGGGCCTTGTGGATATCACGCCATCTTGGATGGGTAGCCCCTGTACCTCTTGTGTGAACTGAGGAGAGGGGCGGCCTCTCTGGGCTGTATGTCTGCTAATACGAATTCTCCACTCTGCGCTTTGCATGGAGAGTAGGATTCGTTTGTAGTGGGTTTTAGTCCTGTGAGGACCTGTGGCCGATGGGTGTGAAGCCAGGTATTTCATCAGGGAGTGAGGGTTCAATGGATTGTTGAGGCCCAAGGCTCGGGAGAAGTTTGAGTGGGCTGCGCGGGACCAGTGTTGGGATGTAGTGTAGGAGCGGTGACGGCCACAATCCAGGTGCCCAGGATCTTGGCAGCATGGTCTTTAAAGTCAAGCAGGCCCATGCCTCCATGATGATGAGGGCTAAACATGACCTCTAGCCGTACTGGTGGAGGGCGGCCTGACCAAAGCCATCCTTGCAGCAGGTCATACAATGATTTGAAAAAGCTTGGGGAGAAGGGGATGGCGTGGGCTCCAAACCAGACTTTAGAAAGGAGCTTAGAGTTTGCTAAAACAACCCTGCCAGTAAGGGAAGTAGGGTGGTCTCTGAGGGAGGCGATGCACCTCGTCATGTTGTCTAGAATACGACTCTCCATTACTGCTGATGCGTACCCACTTGCCTCCACCCACATGCCCAGATGGCGGACTGGCCCTATGGTAGGGCGTGGCACGAGGGGGAGCACCAGTGGGGCGGTGTGGGGTGAGCTGGGAGGGTGAGCACGCGTGCGAGCAGAAGGGCTGGGCTGGGCACTGGTTGCTGGGGCCCAGCAGTTCTGAAACTGACCAAGGAGGATAATTCAGTTTTGGAAGCATTCAGTGCCGCATTACTTACCCGGGAATACTCCTGGATGAGAGCTTCAAGTGCACGTGCATCTTTATTATTAGAAACCCAACCACACAGTTGTCTGCAAACGCCATCATCTTGACTGGGGCTTGTCCTGGCACATGGACCCCAGTGAGTTGGGCATTCACGTTTCGAAGTAGTGGATCAAGGCTGAAGTTTTATAAGAGTGGGCTAAGGAGGTCCCCTTTTCGCAAGCCCCTTTAAGGGTGGACTACTCTGTTAGGAAGCCAGGACCACGTACTGCCATTGTTGCAGTTTCTGTGAGCAGCATTACCCAATTGATGAAGCGAGGGGGTAAGCGGAATTGATGGAGGCAGGCCCTGAGGTATTCCCAGTTTACTCTATCATAGGCCTTCTGTTGGTCCAACAATACAAGTGTCCCAGAGGCTGTGGACTGGCATGCGTTAGCCACATAGTGCACGTTGTCCAAAATCGACCTTCTGGGTATAAAACTGAATTTTTCTGGGGAGATGGTGGCAGATGCTACAATCCCTAAACGTTTAGCCATGATTTTTGTTAAAAATTTTTTATCCGTGTTAGTTAAAGAAATAGGGCGCAAGTTGGCTGAGTCTAGCTTGTCCCCTTTCTTGAAGAGTGTGACGGTGAAGGCCTCTGTCCTCCTGGTAGGAGGCGTGTATCCAACAGGCTCTGGTTAAGTGAAGCGAGCAGCAGTGGGGATATATATTTGAAGTACTTTTTATAGAATTCATATGGAATGCAATTTGGGCCTGGGCATTTCCGGTTTGGTACACCGCGGATGGCTGTCCAGAGTTCATTTGGAGTAATCAGATTCATTAATTCTGGGTATCGGGAAATGGTGTGGATGTGGGTGCAGTCAAAAAATTTCGCCACTTCACCAGCTGAATTAGATTGGATCAGTATAACTCAGAGTAATACTTTTGTATTTCAATTGCCACTTTTGCTGGCATATCCGCGATGGATCATCTGATATTCACACCTGTGTGCAGGCCACGCTCTGGCGTGGTGCAAAATTTTTTTAAAAAAAATATGTGGTGTACTTGTCGCCCTCTGTAATGCGTTTGGCCCTGTACTGAACACAAACCTAATGTTTGTGTTGCCTTTCAATTGTGTTGAGGTGGGCGGCTGCCTCCGCCCACTTTCGGCCCCATGCAGGGCTGTATCCTGTAGCTGGGATGTTGGACTCCAGGTGTGCCAACTCTGCCAGAGCATGCGAAATGACAGCCAATGTGGCTCGTGAGCATCTGGGGATGAGGTGACGAGAGTGGCGGATGGTATCCTCTTTGAAGGCTGCCCATGCGGAGATGGGGTCCACAAAACGGTGTAACAAACTCTTTTGCCAAAGTTGCTGATTCCACCCAATTGGAAAATCCTGGTGACACAAGTTCAGGAGGGCGGAGTTTGCACCAATGTGGGGCCTTAGCCACTGTGACAGGTAAGTGGTAGGTTATTGAGACCAGCCGGTGGTTGGAGAATTCAATTTTTGTTGTTTTGAAGTGGGAAATGTGGGGTTGAAATTTCGCTGGAATAAGGTTAAGGTCAATGAGGGACATGGCCTTAATTGTTTATTGTGGACATGGGGGCGCATCATGTTTTTGAGCAGCGGGGCTCGCCATGGCAGTGCATCCATTAACCCAAGGGTGGCTTTTAGAACGTGAAGTTCTATGTGACCCTGGGGGTGTGGGAGGAGGAAAACCAATGGTCCGTGGGTGTGTTTAGCCAACAGTTCATGTCACTGACTATGAAAGGGTCTGGGGGTAACGGGAGGGATTTGACCGATGAGAAAAATTCCTGATGCTCTCGTGCACAGGTTGGGGCAGAGATGTTGATGATAATATGCGCCATGTCAGCCCACAAGAAAGTGACAACAAGGACTTGACCATTTAGGAAGGATTTTAATGATGAAAATTTGAAAAAATTGTTTTTCTGAACTAGCACCCCACAGTGCTCTGACCAAAAGGATAGGGAAGGGAGGAGCATGGTTTTCCAAGCATCCTCAGAACCTCATGGACAGTGGGACTCCTGGATGGCCAGGATATCCACAGGTAAATTTTTTGTAAAAAACTCAGTTTCCTAGCCTAGGACGGCGAGGCCTTGAGTCCAGCGATATTCAAAATACCTAAAATGAAGGTTTCCCCCATCACACCTTAGGTGCGAGGGGGTGGGTACCCAGGCCCACTAGCCAGTCTAGATCCCCATGGGCCTTCATGGCAGTGCGGGTGTTTGCAGCAATGCTACCAGTAGTTTTGTTGATTTTTGCAGAAAAGTTTGCATTGGCTTTTGCCTTCTCTTTTTGTTTCCCCGACGTTGGACAAATTTTTTGTGGTATGGATGAGTTTAGTGCACCAACGAGTGGGTCAAAGAAAATTTTCAGGTAGGTTGGAAACCAAGTCAGTTTTGACTGGAGCTTCGTTGCAAAGATTGGGTGAAATTGAGTCACCCATCAGATCCTCAGATTGGGTGGCCCAATATGCATGGGCTTCCCAATCTGATTGGTTGATGGATTCCTGAGTTGCTTCCACCACAAAGGTTTTGATGTCCTCCTGGCGTTGGGAGTGTGGGATAGCGGTGGTGACTTTGGCCGCTTCCTTGGCCGTGGCCCTGCAGGCCTGCTTGGCCTTCTTCTGCTCTTGCAGGGAAATAGGTTTTACCAGTAGGTAGCAACCTTGTGCTCCTCACGGGAAAGCCTCTTTGGTGCTTGCATTTGGTTCATAGTTCGCCTCTCCGCTGGCCATGGCCGCTGAGGGGTGCTCTTGGAATGTGATGCCCTCCCTGGTGGGGCATGCATGTGCCTTATAGCTGAAAACGTCACAGTGGGTGCAGATGGGGGGCGCGCTGTCCACGGTTACCCGGAAAGGGTGGGTGGTATGCCCTTCAATTTCAATATGTGTGGAGTGAGGGATCTATGTTAGGTCCTTTGCAATCTCCTTAGTTGGGGTCAGAACTGCAATGGCTTTGACAGTGCACAGGTGTGGATTCAGCATAAAACATTGCATCTTGAAGGATTGTATTTTACTGTAAACGGTGAGACCACCTTTCAGGTGCTGCTCCAAAACGGCACGTTTTACTGTAGTAGGCAAAAAGTCAAATGTGAGGAAAATTTGGTTTTATTTTGTCCATCTGGTGCATTTGGTTTCGATGACCCATTGCCCTTTGGGGAGGTTAATCATTATGCGCACTGCAGCAGCCTTGTCTGCTGCCTCCTTGTTTTTGAAACCTAGGTCCAGCCAACCGCATGACATGGAGTGAGGTATGACATACACCGCGGTTGGGAAAAAAGTGTGCACATCCCCATAAAATTTTTCCCATAAAGCTGTTTGTTGGATGTCCAGAAACACGTGGACTCCGTATTCCACTGACAAGAGTGGCTGGG